GGCAGTGAAAAAAGGGGGAGAAAAGTGATATAAGAAAGACACGAGTATTCATCAAAGTAAGATCAATAGTGAAACAGGAGGCAGATCATAAAGATGGACGAGGCCTTAGAAAGACTCTGAGCCTCCTGAGTGTCAGGGTGTTGGGGGTGGGAGGGAGCACTGAGGGCAGCCAAGCCTCAGCAAGGTGTTTCTCCACCCCTGGTTGCTCATCTTTTGTCTCATTAGCCGGGTTTCTATGCCCCAAAGCCTGGGATTGTCTGGATACCTGGAGGCATCCTGTGAGCCAGTGTCAAGGGTCTGTGGCTGAAGTGGGCACATGTATGATACCAAGGAGCTTCACTATGTAATTTCTGGAGAGGAAGCCTTATGATGAGGTAAATCTTCCAGTTGATATTCACATTGGAAAACTGTACCTGCAAGGCAGGACCCTCACGCAGGGCCCCAGGGACAGCCCTACCCAGACTGATAGCAGACAGAGGCCACCCAAGGCCAGGACCCCAGGCAGGGGGATCACTCTCCCCACGCTCTGCGCCAAACACAAAATCACTGCCAGGCCTGTGCTCCCTGAGGTCGGGGCAGAGCACACACCCGGCGGCTGTGGGCTTGGTCTCTGTTTTCTTCACCACCTTGGGAATTTTAACCCCCACGCCCCAGACCAGCCCAGTGGCCCAACTTGCAGCTCATCATCTTCTCCTCGACTTAAGTGAATACTAGGAGTGACTTATATTCCTCTCTTACCTCTTCCCTGAAATTAAAGGGCATGCAGTCTTTTAGCTTGTGTTTTTTGGGGGAGATTGTTTTGTATGTCTAAAAGGTTGTAGTAACAAAAATAACAATGGCTTTTGTGCCGTGGGTTATTCAAATGAGCAAAGAAGACCAAGCGCCTGAGAAGAAAATTAGAAAATGTCATGCTCTGCAGCCATTGGTTGATATTTGGCTCTTTCACTTACTCCTGAGCAAAATAAGAGCATGGAGCTGGGAGGCCACGTGTGTCCTGTGGAGAGCAGGGCAGTGGGAGGAGGTGTGAGGGCCCGGCAGTCCTGCGAATCCCTCTCTGAGCTTCCCTTGAATGTGTTACAGAAACGAGCAAAGAGCTGGGAAACAGGCGCTGCCTGGACAGCCTCCAACGCTCTCCACAAAGCCCAGGAAAAGCCTGGCTAAGCCACACACATTTCATGTTTTCCTGAGGAAAGACTCTGCTTTTGGCCTTAGGATTAAGGAGTTTGAGTTTTTTATAGAGACACTAAAACATTCTCTTCATATTTCCTCCCTCACTGGAAAGAGCCCAAGAGGAACAGACAGGAAGACAGTGTGGGCACATCAGTGCTGCCAGGCCAGGTAGCTCCCGAGAGGCGGGGGTGACAGGACAGTGGTGAGTCCTGCCCCCACCTGCCTGAGGATACAATGTGTGTGAGAGTTGTGTGTATACGAGAGTGTATGTGTGAGAGTGAGTGTATGACAGTCTAAGTGTGTGTGAGTGTATGTGTGAGAGTGTGTGGGGTATGTGTGTGGGGGGGTGAGTATGAGTGTGTTTGTGAGAGTATGTGTATGACAGTGTGTGTGTTTGGGGTGAGTATGAGGGTGTGTGTGAGAGTATGTGTATGACAGTGTGTGTGTTTGGGGTGAGTATGAGGGTGTGTGTGAGAGTATGTGTATGACAGCGTGAGTGTGTGAGTGTGTAAAATCTTAGTTGAAACTTGAAGAAACCAAATGTAGAAGAGTAGATGTGTGTGTGCCAGGATTTCTCTCTCCGATTAGACAATGCAAAGTGAACACCATCTTCATCCCCACCAGAAAATGGCTTTATCACGAGGACAAAACAAACATGAACACCGCGACAGGTAGAGAGGCAGGAAGGTGAGGCCGGCAGGACGATGGTCTCGGGACTGTCAAGAGCTGAAGCTTTTTTCTTTCTCCAGAAATAGATTTAAAGGGAAAACTAAAGCATCTGCTGTTACTTTATGTGAATGATTTGGAAATAGCCGGATTCGTGCTATTTCAGAATCCGGGATTTACACCGAGTAAGAACAGGAAACAAAACCTGTCATCACTGCAGCTTGCATTTGCCTGTGAAGTTTTCCTTTATGAAGTGAACTTAAATTTTGTAATTGTTTCTATTCTAGAAATGAACGTATTTTTAGCTTTCCTACTTAAGCTTCTCCATAAGAAAGCTACTGCTATTTTTAAGTTTTTCTACCTTAATCACAAACTTATAATTTTCTCATAGTTAATGCTTTTTATATTGCCATTTTCCTTATTTTAGCCCTAAAAAGCCTATGTAATTGTAGTAATGGAAACACTGGAATAATGTATCAGACAAGCGTCAACAGTGCTCCTAGATTTAGAATATCGGGGTATTTCTTTTTTTCTTCAAGTTTCCACTTTTGTTCTAGTTGAGCTAAAATTCAGATTCTCCTTTTTTTTTTTTTTTTTCCAGATTGCAATTTATAATTAAAATCCCCCTGGTTCAGTAAGTGTGAGATTGGCTTTAGGAGTAAAGAAATTATTGTGCGTAAATCACTAAATCTGCAGAGATTCCACTTTTAAAGGCTTTCAAGAGAAAAACAAAAGTTACATTTAATTTGAACTGTCAGTATCTTTTAAGGGGAAAAAGTGGGCACTTCTGTTAATTTCCTATTCTCTGACTACAAAGAGCATCTCCCACTCCTCATCAAGTCACTGATGACTTGACATAGGGTGGTTCAGCGCGTGTCGTCTAGACATTATATCCATACGCTTTGGGAATTAAGCAAATGTATGAAAGAGTAGAAATTCTAACTTGAATGACACGAGTGACCAAGCAGTCCTACCTCAGCCTGATGGAACAGCGCCACCTACTGCTCACGAGCTTGATTTTCTGTTGCCAACTCCTTAGACCTCTACAGATCTAAGCCAGGTTTGCGGGGTGCTATCTTTTAAGATCTTCACCTGGGTCACTTGTTGCAACATTTGTTTTCTCTCTGTGTCTGTGTCTCAGTCTATGCACTCCTATAGAGACCAGTAGTTAAATCATGACGTGGGAGGGAAAATTTAAAGAATGTAAATATGAAAAACATAGACATAGAGAGTATTCTTTCTTGGTGCCTGTTTGGTGTATCTTTTGTTCTCAAAACAAGTCTGATGTCCCTGAATTTGCATATGCTAATGATATGGGAGCAAGAATTAATGGATGCTTGCTTAAATTGAGCCACTGTGTGCATTATATCCTGGGCTGCCCGCAGGTGAGTCCTTTGTTAAATGATCACAGATTTAATGGGTTTTGATTGTATTCCTCTTCCTCTAGTGTTTTTTATTCCTATCATAACACTTAATTCTTCTTCGGCTCTTAAAATAACAAGTGTTAATGTCCCTGGCATGTAATGTATTTTGCATTATGCTTCACCATGAAAGCATTTACATAGAGTATCAGTAAAGCAGATCTTTTTATCGAGTTGGGGTCAGTAATTATCCTTTGAGCCATTTTGGTTTATTTCATTTAGTCTATTGAAGCACAACATAAAATAAATAAGTGGCAGCAGACATGGTATAGTAGCAATTATGATTCTTTTTATCATTCTTTATTACTCCTCCAAGGTCTTAACAGATTATTGACCTCCAGCATCACTCACGATGAAGATTTACCCCTCTGTACCGAGAAGACCATCCCACTTCAGATCCTAATTCATAATTAATTTTTTGGCATGCACTCATTTCTATCAAATTGTATTTGTCATACTACTGTTATTTTATTTATATATTAATGGAATGTCACACAGTCCAGAATTTAAAATACTTGACATTTGTCAGGACTTTGATTTCCAAGTAAATCAAAATAGAATATAACTTGTTTTTATATCATATGCCGGAGTCATAATTATATAATTGAAACATGTTAGAAATCTAGATGTACAAATAGCACAGATGGTTTCAATTTTGTGTCCTGATTTGAAGAAAAGCTTTTGAGTTCCAGATATTGTTAAAAACTTGGCCTTCACATATTTTTAAAGCTTTACAAATTTTCATTATACATTTTGTTACTTTACTCATTTAATTAAGACTTATTGAGCATCTACTTTGTGCCAGATACTCACCAAGGTTTCAGAGCTTCAGTGATTAAAACATAGATTCCTTGTTCTCAGTAAGTGGCTAGTCCTAGACCAGCAAGGGCCAGGGGATGTGAGCACCAACCCAAACTAAAGCAAGTGGGTGTAGATAAGGGACAATCCAGGAAGATTTCCTGAAGAGAGAAACTCTGAAGTCTGCAGAGAGGATCAGGTGTTCGTCAGGAGGATGGTGGAGGAAGGGCGTGCCAGGGCTGATGATAGGATTGAGAAGACACGGAGAAGAGAGGGCAGGGAAGGGTTGGGGAAATACATGTTTTCAGTTCACTTGGGACTCAAGACTGCCAGGGAGGTAGTTCTGAGAGAGAAGACTGGACAGAGATGGGAAAGTGGAGGATCTCTTATGCATCTGGACTTTATTCTGAATGCTTTTGTGTTTCTAAAGTATTTTAAATAAGGATGCAAAAAGAGTACGAGGTGGGCAGGGATCCACACCTACTGGAAGACTCCTTTTAGCAACACAACAGAAAAATTTGAGGGAAGGGGAGGCTGAGGAGGAAGAGCAGGTAAGAGGCCAGGTAAAGTGTTGTGAGACTGGGTGAGGGGAAGGGACAGCAAGGGGAAGGTGACTGTCGCCTGCATTGCTGCAGTGAAAACGAGGGAAATCCAGGAACACTTCTTTGCTGGCATGGGAAGAGCTTGTTGTCGCCACCCCCTCAGACACACACAGAGCACAAGTTAGACCTGAGCAGAAAGGAGAGCAGCTCTACTGAAATGCCCTGACCACACCACATGCAGAAAGCCATGGACGTGGCTAGAGGCCTTAGGAGTCCAGAGGAGAGACTTGAATCAGAAAACTTCAAATTGAATCCTTGTTCATCCTTGACTTAATCGAACAGTAGTACGGGGGCCTGCCTCCGGACTCCTCCCTCTAACCCTGCCGCTCTACCCCTGTCGCAGGAGACTGGTACGAACAGTTGTGCCCGCTCGTCCTCACCCTGAAAGACTGCATGGGAGAGGTGGTGAACCGGGCCAGGCAGTCCCTGACGTTCGTGCTCCTCCAGGAGCTGGCCTACAGCCTGCCGCAGTGCCTGATGCTGACTCTGAGGAGAGATGTGGTCTTCAGCCAGGCGGTAGGTGCCACCCGGCCCAGGGGCTGGTGTTCTCCCCGTGCCCCGGAGGTCTCCCGCTGACCTGCTTATCTCTGAGGGAGAGGCTTCTTCCAGTCCTGGTTCCCAGGTCTGATTCCTAATAAATGAGAGCCAGATTTCACTTGTAAAGTGTTTATGGGGGGGCCTCCCTTGTGGTGCAGGGGTTAAATTCTCAGTGCTATGAAGCTATCACCTACCACTGCAGCACAAGTTCCATCCCCGGCCAGGGAGATACCCACATGGCGCAGCAGACCTCTCCTGTCTCCCCCCTGCTCCCCTCAGTAGTGTATTTCAGCAGATCCACCTGATCTGCTCCCCATTTTGTCTCTGGTGAATCATCTCAACCCCCGCACCTCTGGCCTGTACCCCAGTTCTTGTATGCATAAATAAATAAATGTTTAAAAAAAAGAGCTTGTGGGACCACACTATTTCATGGATGCTCCAGTTTGCCAGTGGCATCCAGCACATTAATCAGGTTCTTCATGTGTCTTCTCAGTGACTCTGTGAAATGAGTGCAGTTGAACCTTTTTGACCTATACCAATAATAATACGACTTTATGACTTGGAAGTGCTAAGTGACTTTACGGTTTCACGACAGGATTTGCAGACATGTCAACCTCGCCCCTCCCCTGTCCACGCTCCTTCCCCTTCCCAGCACGGCCACCCAGCCGGATCCCAGACTATCAGCTCGGGTACAATTGTATATATCATCATTATCGTTTTGTTACACATGCTTGGAAATGTTTAATTAAATCGTTGATGCCTCAAAGGTTATCAAATATTTATAAAATAATCACATTGCTGACCTGGGTAAATTTCTTCGATTTTCTGGGTTTTTTTAGCTTGCTGGATTGGTGTGTGGCTTCATCATTAAAATACACACAAGTTTTCATGACCCGGGTTTCCTGCAGCAGCTGCGCACAGTGGGGCTGATCGTGCAGTATGAAGGCCTGCTGAGCACATACAGTGAGTATGCTGGGGCAGGGGCACGTCCCGGCCGGCGCACAGGGCTGTGTGGCCGGGATCCTCAGCTGAGCAGACGAGTGAGACTTGAGCCTCTGTTGAGCAAGCGTCACCTTGTCACTGCCCTTTCAATCCTCCCAACTATATTTTGAAAATGGAATTACAGATGATTTCATTGTGAGTCCTGAGCAGCCATCTGGATTTTTCTTAATCTAAGAGACTCTTTGCCAAATAGTTGCAATGACTGGACTTGTCAAGCCCCGACCCTTGCATGTCTAGAACCGCGCTGGTCAACAGAGCCCGACGCGGCTACTGAGCACTCAAAATGTCCAGTCCAAGTCAGCTTGTGCATCAGACTGCAGAAACTAGTTAACAAGCAGTTTTCAATTAGCAATTCAATACCATGATTGATAGTGACGTATAACTGAAATGATATTTTAGATGTGTTGGGGTGAAGTAAAATATATTATTAACATTAATTTCACCTTTTTTATTTTACTCCTAAAATATATCTACCAGAAAATTGGCAGTTGTATATATGGTTCATATTATATTTGCGCTGGGCACTACTGATCTAGAATCTTATTGGGTTTCTTCCTCTTACTCATTCTTAGGCTTTATTTGTCAGCATATTGAGAAAGAAAACGTGCATGAGCCTGGGTCAGGGGGCTTCAATTGAGTCATATGTGTTAATTCTAGAAATCTAATGCCATTCCTGCCAATGTAAGAAGATCTGCTTGATGCTTAGTTTCATAAAGGAGCTAAGACTTCCTCTCTCTCCCAGCAAATGTGTCTTCCTTCCTCCTTTCTTCACAGCGACAGAGACAGGATGTCCGTTGAAATAGTCCTTGTTTCACTGATAAAAACCTGATTCAGCCTCTGGGGGATAACATTTAAAATGGATTCACTAGCTTCAGGAACTCATTCAGAAAATGCTAGAATGAATTCCAGCAGGGGAGATGCAATACCAAGTGGCATTTTTTTCCAGTAGTGTAACTACACTCATTTCCCTTGTGTAGGTGATGAAATCGGGATGCTGGAGGACATGGCCGTTGGCATTTCCGATTTGAAGAAAGTCACTTTTAAAATAATTGAAGCCAAATCCAATGATGTCTTACCCGTGATAACAGGCAGGCGGTAAGTGGTACTAGTTTCCTGAGTACCAAGCTCGCTTAGATATTTGTATCAATTCCTGACAGAAGAGCCAAGAAGAATTAAGATTTGGTTTTGCATCTTTTTCTTTTCTTCTCTTTTTGGTGAGAAATAAATGTAGGTGACATGACAGGGGAAGACCATTTAGAAATCCTTGAAGCCTCATGAATATTTGTGAGTTGTTGTGTAGCAAAATGAGCATGGCCAAGCTCCCCCATGAAACAGGAGGCGTTCAAGGGAATAGCAGGCATGAGAAGCACATCTTTCTCTTCATTACTATCTAGTGTAAAGCTCTGGATGTTTTTACTTTTGCTGGAATCATTTGGTTAATAGCATCATAATTCTTGAGACGACTTTATATCAAATTCTGTTAAAAGCAGCAACATTTTAGGAAAGATGTATTCCTATGTCAGGGGCATTCACCCCCATTTTTCTTAATTATTTTTGACAATTCACTCACAGACTAAAATTTCCGAGAATACTTTTAAATAAGTAGTTTGGAAGGTCAGTGTATGATGGGTAAATTATCAGAAATAATTAAGAAAAGTGATAGTGTTTAGCATAGACCTCCAACAGAAGATTATAGCCTACAGTAAATCATTTCAATCCGAAGTCCTCCAAATTTTAATGATTCTGATGTTAACACTTTCAAATACTACATGAGGCTGTTTGACATTTGAAATACTCTCAGATTACAATAAAAAATGAATGTAACAAAGAAAGAGTCTTTTACATGCTAGCAATTAAAGAAGTATCAAAGTTCATATAAACTTGTTTTCTTGCCGATAGTAAACACATAAGCCATAAGCCTTAAATGTTGTATGAAGGATGCCTAGAGACACATGATTGAATGAAAGGTGGCAGTTTCTTATACATAAAGAAAAAGCATATCCTTGTAAAACTAATTTCATCTGCAAACTAATGCTTTATTTGTCATTTATTGGAAGAAAGAGAAATAAAATTGTTCAGACACACAGCTGATAAACAGTAACATACTTTATTATTTGACCATTTTTATCAAAAGTGAGATGCTGATACTTGGTCACAATTTATAAGGGAAGCTTACCAGGCCCTTTGGTGGAGCCAGGGTACAGGTTCTTTTTCTGGGGAGTTCTTGACACAACATCTGAATTCAAAAGTTATGCCAAAGGGAATGGGCTTCCAGAATGAAGATGTGAGCCTTGGCCAATCCCTGTCTCCAATAGGACAGAATTATCTAAAGCAGCCAGTAGGACAGCAAGAATAAATCAAAATCATACAGATTAGAAGGACATATTCATGAGGAAATAGTAAACCATGGATAAGATAGTTGGAGTCAGTGGCATTTGACTGGTTTCCTATCAGCCCCAGCTCCACATTGTTTCACTAGGGCTGGCAGGTCTTGAAAGCCTGCAGTCTCACTAGCAAGGGGGTCTGCCTGGATTTGGACTAGAGAGGAAAAAAGTGCACATTCTTGAAAAGTTGTCACAATAACCATCATTGTCACTCACAATAGCATCCAAAGGGATAATGTCCTTCGAGTAAATTTAACAAAGTGCTCTAAGATTTTTACACAGAACATGCAACATATTACTTAGAAATATTAAATCCAATAAGTATAAATGCAGTCCATGTCCACAGATCAGAAAATTTAATATTGTTTAGATGACAGTTCTTCACGAATTGATGTATAGATTCAATACAATTGCTATGTAAATCCCAGTAATCCTTTTATAAAAATTGACAAGCTAAAGCAAAAATCATGGAAATATGAAGAACCCAGAATACCCAAAACAATTTTATAAAAGAACAAAGTTGAAGGATTTATACTATCTGATTTCAAAACTTACTATGAAACCATAGTAGTCAATACCATTACAGTTCTTACCTCAGTAGGTAGGTAGGTAGATGATTGATTGACAGACAGCTAGATAGATATGAGTGAAACAGATTCGATATTCTAGTGATACACTAGAATACAGTAGAAAGTAAATATACTAGAAAATTACTTGATTTTCTTTTTTTTTTTTTAAAGATTTATTTATTTATTTATATAAGCACAGGGTACAGTCAGAAGTGCGGGAGGGTGAGAGAATTCACCAGAGCCAGAGCGGGGAACAGAACAGGCAGACTGACAAAATACACTGCTGAGGGGAGCAGCAGGCGCAGCAGCAGAGGTCTGTCGCGCCACGTGGGACCCTCACCGGTCGCCAGGGATCAAACTGGAGCTACAGAGGCTGCGGGCAGCTACTCAGCCCAGCGCTCAACTGCTGCGCCACCAGGGGAGGCCCAAAAGTTACTTGAGTTTCAACAAATGTGCCAACATAATTCAATGGAGAATCTTTTAAAAAAAAATGGTGTTCTGACAACTGGTTATTCATAAGCAAAAAGAACTCAAAGCCTTAACTTACACCATACACAAAAATGAACTCATAGTGGATCATAAGTGTAAATTTAAGAGTTTAAACTATAGAATGTCTAAGAGAATAAAATAAACACTGAGGCTTTCTGTGCCCATGACCCTGGTGTACAAAACAAACCCACCATTTTCCCTTTCCTGCGGGGTCTCAGACTAATGGAGAAATCACCAAACATGTGAGTGATTCTTTAAGCCAAGTCATGTAGTAGTGGAGTAAATGAAAGTCATGTAGTAGTGGAGTAAATGAAATAGTTTTTAAATGAATTAATAACAAACCAAGCAGACAGCAACCCAAAAGTTATTTCAATATTCTATCCCAATTGCTTTCTCTCATTTCTTGCCAATGAATCTAAAATAAAATGAAAGTGAGTGAAATAAGCAATGCAGCTTCTTTTTGTCCTCTGCTCCCTCCAGTGAACATTACGTGGTAGAAGTCAAGCTTCCAGCGAGGATGTTTGAGTCGCTGCCTTTGCAGATTAAGGAAGGACAATTGCTTCATGTGCATCCAGTACTTTTTAATGTTGGAATCAACGAACAGCAAACTCTGGCTGAGAGGTGAGCTTCAGGCATAAGGTTGATACTCTACTCCAGGTTTCTTTTTAATTGTTAGAAATTTGCTCAACCATTCTGCAAGTTCCTGCATGAGGAACCTGTCTAGATTCATGGGTAATGGGATTCTTATTCATCAGTCCCAATGTATTCGATTTAGCAAGAGGAGAAACACACATTTAAGGAAATTTAGCCCAAATTAAATTTAAATGTGGCAAAACAATGAAAAAATAGGGATGTTAATTCCAAAATATTCATATTTTAATGTGAAATATTACCATTTTTTTCCAAATACATAATTTCAAATGTTGGAATTGTTCCATGTATTTCAATACTATAACCACAGCTCATTGTGTTAACATTTTCTGGACCTAAAGCACAGTCTATTTTCCCCTTTTTTGTTTATTAAAATAGTTGTTATTGGGGATATTCCTACTTCTTTTCCTAAGTTGCTCAAGCAGGTGATTGCATATGACTCCATGAGTCACTGTTGAAAACACCTGTTTAGCTGACAGGGATTCCTTTTGCATCTTACATTAACTTATCAGTAACATGGAAAAGAGTTAAGTTCACTGCATGCATTTTTAAATGATTTAGAGAATGAAGTTACCATTTTGCAGTAAAATCTGGCTGAAGAATTTCTCCCACAGGTAAAATCTTGATAGTCTTTTATTTAAAATGTTTTATTATCAATAATTCACTTTCCAAATGTCATCCATGGTAACAGTCTATCCTTGCCAGGACATGGTACCTTGTTACAAGTGTTTATCAATGTCTTTTACTAAACTAAAATACCGCTACACTTACAGTCCTTTTGCATTTCAGTGATGATCCAGCAGCCTGTTTTGATCTATTTTCCAACTATTTCTCCTTGTCTCCCTTGTAGCCAAAAGATATTTCCTGAACAGCATGGATTTTCATAATTCTCACTCACTAGCTACACAAGTAGATGACAGCTTTGTATTGCAAGTTTAATTTCAAACTGTGGAAGCTATTCATCTCTTATAGTGTGCGTATCAGACTATCATTTTATTCACTGTGTTGCACAAGAAGCTTTCTTCAATAATTAAGCACTTTTGCAAATCAGTATCTAAGATCAGATTATATTTTATCTACATGTATTTGTCTCACAGCAAGTTCAACGGTGGAGGTGAATGATATTTGTGAACATAAGTTAAATCTGGAGAAACAGCATTCTAAATTATCTCTTCTTGGTTCACTAGCATGCAGGGTTTGTGTGTGAATTAATTAATGAAGGCCTGGGGTGTGGTCTGAGAGAGATGTGAGCCTCTTCCACTTGCAGACTTTTCAAGGACTAGCTGGCACCTTGTTCTCAAGAATTCTAGTTAGGTTAATTTGCATCATTCATGCAATTGACAACTATTTTAGTTGTCAGTCACTTCATTTCCCTGTTCTTTCTTCTCTCTCCCATATTAATGGATGTATTTTTTTCATACCTGAAGCTGAATAAGTCACATAAGATTTGAAAGGGAGAAAAAATGACAAAGCAGAATCAAAAACCAAGAGAAGCAGGCTGGACTTGAATTGCCCCCTGACATTAACCAACTTGATTTGAGCAAATCATGTCATCTCTTCTCTCGGGGCCTCATATTTTCTCATTCTGAATTTTGAGCTTTTACCAGGTAGCATCTATATATTAGGTATGCTGTATAATTCAGGTGCAACACTTTACTACATATTTACCCATAGCCAAACCATATGCTGTATTTGTCCATTCTTAAATAAGTATTAATTTACAGAAATAATAGTTTTGCAGAGATAAGAAAATTAACATCAACTATTAGTTATGTGTGGGCACAATTGCTGGTGTTAGAGATTTGGTATTTCATACAAGTTCACATGTGATGGCTGCAAGAATATCATTTTTTTTTTTTTTTTTTTTTGCCAAAAGGGATTGGTAGAATCAGGACGAGTATGTTTAAATCACCATTATGCCATATTCCTTCAAAAAAGAGGGGGACTCTTCTGTAGGAAACTGTTGCCACCTATTTAAAAAGGAAGGGTTAAAACATGTACTTTCACGTATTGTTTTGGAATCCATCATTATTTTCTTTTTTCTATTTTTAGGTTTGGAGATGTCTCTTTGCAAGAAAGTATTAATCAGGAAAATTTTGAACTTCTGAAAGAATATTACACCACATTTATGGAAAAGATGCCTCCTGATTGTAAGTCCACAAATTAGAGAAAACAATAATAATTTCTTGATTGTAAATCTTCTGAAGTCAGTCATAGCGGTCAGTGGGAGAAAGCAGCCTGGGGCAGGGGTGTGAGCGAGTCTGAGATGCCCAGCCAGATGGCTGATTGCCAGGGCCTTGATTGCACACTTGAACATGCCCCACTGCTGTGCGAGGGTGTTGCATTGATTTCAGTGCCACAGGAAAATCCCAAAGATTAAAAATAAGGAACTTATCATTAGAAATCTCCGCTAAGTCCATTCATAATTTTGCATAATTTTTAACCACATGAATGATTTTAATAAAGATTTAGTTTTCTCTTTATAAAGTACAGCAAATAAAGCATGCATTTACAAAGAGGAAATCAGAGCAAAATGACACAAGGATTATAAAGAGATATAAACTAAAGAACCAATTTATTGATTATGCTTATTGCTACAGTTATGTGAAATGTTAAGGCATCCAACCTTATATGATGTACTTATGGATTTTTTTAATTGTTCAATCCTGCAGTTCTTTCCCCCACAAAATTAAATGCTAAACATAGAGCAACACCAGAACTTCAAGAATGCATTTGGAGTTTATCTATAAGCAGTATAAGTAGACATATTGAGATATTCACAGTGATAAGAAGCTAGGTTTTAATAAGGTGGGGAATATTTTAATTTATTTTTGGCCAAAAGCTATATCAAAGGTCTTCCTGATGTCCAGTTGCTGATTTATATTCTGTACTTAGTTTTAAATGTCAGGTGGCAGAGTGTTTAGGTCTTTTCATAACCCAGTGAGTCTTGCACAGAATATTCTGGTGGCATATGCTCGCCCATGTGCGAAGAGATGGAAAAGTTTGCCTGCAAATTTTATTATGTTTTTTCACATAAAATATTAGTTTTATGCCAAAATGAAATTAAGCACAGGGAAATACTTTGGCAGTCAGCATACTTGAAAATTCTAAATTTGTTAATTACTTGGAAAGTTAATAATATAAACAAAATAATTTTGCATAAGTAATTGATAAAAATGAATGTTATAACTTGGATGTTGGTGGGTATGTTTTTGATGAATTATTTATAATTTGGAAATAGTTCTCAGAATTTTATAAACAATTTGATTTCTGTTTACATCAGTCCTTTTAAAATGTGATCACCTGGTGTGGGGGGTTTCCATGAGCTATGCTCATTCTCAAGCTTCTCTGAGACCCATTGAACTTACCCTGTAATCTGTGTTTGAGTGAACCTTCCAGATGAGTCTGATCCATGGTAGTGTTTGAGATCCAATAATATGCCATCCTGCCTGACTCCAAGGCACCATAGACCATTAGGAGCTCCTTCACCAGGCCTTCCCTGTAATGTTAACTGGTCTCTGATTAACTGGAGGGATTCCAGGGAGGCAGGTGTGAGTGTTTACCTTTCTTCTTGCTCTCATCTTCCTGCTGGGTCTGACCATCTCCCAAATGTTTCAAGATCCCTTTTTTGCCCACCTAAAGCATTAAGCCACTTCAGTTTGGGGTTAGCAAAATAAAACAACATAAATAAAACAAAGCTCTTCTGTGAATCACTTGCACAAACTGCTCCATGTTTTGAGCCACTTGTAGCATCTCCATGATGTGGAGCCCCTGACTTTGGGGGAAGGAGCAGAGTAAATGCTTCTTTCTCTCTCCTTTAAGTGAGGGGTGACCACCTATCGATTTTTCATCTTTCATCTCTCTGTAATCTCTGTGATAATAATTTCCATTTTGGGGGGCCCTTTTTCCAAAAACAAACAAACAAAAAGGATGTTGTCACACAGGTCTATGGAAAAAATACCACTTATTGACACCTTAAGAGTGGGTTGTCTAGTACTGTGAGCAAGAAGGGAAATAGAAGGAAAGTGTCACTAGGAGAAGGTAAGCAAGAATAGCAACGTGTTGATGGAGAAAGAAGAATTAGAATTACAGAGAAGAGGTTGGAGTTGGGACTTTGAGTCATTGATGAGGTTGCATGAGGTAGTTTTAGTAAAAATGTGGAAGAAAACTGCAGGCATTGAAGGAGAGAACATATGTTGTGTCAGGAGACAGAGAAGTGAAGGTGCCTTCCTAGGACAGCTAAGAGTGGACACAAAGAGAGAAATGAAAACATAGGGTGAAAGTGCCAGAACCCAGCGAGAGGACTTCTCCATTTCTCTTTAGTTCAGTTGTCCAGACAGATGGACGCTTTGTAACTGTGGTAAAGGAAGGGTCTGTCTTGACCCTGCCTGGAGGTTCTCTAGGGAGGTGCACTGAGAAGGCTCTGGACTATTCCAAAAAATCTACCAGAATTCCCCAAAGGGTCAGAGGACTTAACCTGCCTTTGGCTGCAGACAGAATATTACTAAGGTCAGAAAACCAGTTTTCCTGGTTTTAGGAAAAGAAAACCTTCCCTGCCTGGCTGAGACCCCTGTAGCACCTGAAGAATCCCAATAAAAGTTCACAGATAGTTCTGTAAGATGAATGTTCTGAGTTTAAAAGGTTTTGAAAGTATTCAAAGCATTGACCTGCACAGCCCAGCTGGCTGCGTCCGTGTGGTTTCCCTGGCTTTGTGCCTTCGCAGGAAAAAACCTTGAAAAAAAGAGTTTGTTCCTATCCACTTATTACCTTAAAAAAAATCAGATCAGCCATGGTTTTCTCTGATATCCCATTAATTTTAAGCATAATTATGAAAATATAAACCTTTAGCATTTGTAAAAGCTGTGATGCATTCCAGGACTCTGCTGTTTAGCTGTCCTGAGCTAACTTTCAGTTAATAGAGCACTTATTTAGATCAAAATGTTTTTGTGCTTTTTGAGCTTATAATATCTGTTAACATTATTCATCCTTCAGTATTTTGATATACTTTATCTCTCATTTTAAAACAATAGATCAGTGGAGCAAAGCTGATTCTGTTAAGGGTAAATAGAAAGAGAAGTATAATAAATATTAAAACTCAAAACATTAGGAAATATATAAAAAGGAACAGGATTCCATTGGGACAAGAAAGCCTTTAAATTAAGGATTTCCCAGGGGTAGATTACAAGGAGAACTTAAATATGATTACAATGTTGAATAGCTAAAAACCAGATTGTGTTAGCTTGGAATATGAATCAACTCACCTCTTACACCTAATACTTTGTCTTTTAAAAATATTGCCACACTGGGCCTCCCTGTTGGCGCAGCGGTTGAGTGCTGGGTTGCAAAGCTGCCCGTGGCCTCTGCGACGCCGGTTCGATCCCCGGCTGCTCCCCGGCCACCAGAGGAGGGTCCCACATGGCGCGCAGACCTCTCCTGCCGCCCGCTGCTCCCCTCAGCAGTGTACTTCGGTCCTTCTGCCTGCTCTGCTCCCCGCTCTGGCTCTGGTGAATTCTCTCACCCTCCCACGCTTCTGACTGTACCCAGTGCATGTATAAACAAAACAAACAAACAAACAAATAAATAAAAACATGCCTCTATAAAAAAAAAAAAAATATTGCCACACTGGGCCTCTCTGGTGGTGCAGGTCGTTGAGTGCTGCACTGTGAAGCTGTCTGCAGCCTCTGGAGCACAGGTTCAACCCTGGCCAGCCGGGAGAATCCCACATGGCGGGCAGACCTCTCCTGTCTCGCCAGCTGCTCTGTCTGTCTGTTCTGTTCCCCACTCTGTCTCTGGTGAATCCTCTCACCCGCCTGCACATCTGGCCTGCACCCCGGTTCTTATATAAATAAATAACTCTTTAAAAAAATAAATACAAATAAATAAAAATAAAAATATTGCCACATAGCCTTTGAACATTTAGCAAGTTTTTCAAACCCAGGAAAGAACTTTCTACTGAATCAAAGTGATTTTCCAGTATAAGGATATGATAATACTGTCTTGAATTAAATGATCGGATTTCATTTCTAGAAGTGAAAAGAACAGCTACCCAGGTATCATTCAGTATTGCACTCTATGTAAAATGATCTTGCAAATTCATAAACTTTAGATTACTGAGAAAAAGGAGAAAAAAGAGCTGCATTTCTAAGATGTTTTGTGCTCTGGAAGAAGTTAGTCCCGGCCTGGCAAACCACACCAGGATCTCTCCACGCTATTCAGTGTCCCAGTTACCCAGTCATGCCATATGCTAACAGGTGTCTATGTCATGGTGGCTGAAATCACCGAGGAGCAGCCTGTAAATTGGTTCTTGGAATACTGAGCACATATCAGAGAGAAGCCTGGCACCACGTTTGCTCTGTTTATCTATGAAAATGAAGACTGCTTAAATGGGTAGTTCTTTCACTTTCTGATCATTTTAAGAGCTCTGTTGCAGACCAGAAATTAGGCGATGGCATCAACACTGACAGCATCAGCTGTGCGCGACACAGACGGGCAATGTTCTGTAAACAAACAGATATTAATCTACTTATTGCCTGTTTACTTAAAATGGGAGCCCACCTGTGTGGGTGCTTTCAACATGGCTCGTGGATGCCAGGACTTAATGAAAATGGTGCTCTCGCTTTCTCATAACAAGCTCCTCTGGGTGCCCCTTGTTCTTGCTTTCAGAGCCCTCTCTCCTGAGGCTGGCACCCACCTTGAACCTGGCTCCCAGCACCTCAGGAGGCTCTGGAAATGTCCTGAGTGTATAAAATGAGGGCGCAAAGCAAGACGGTTATCTCAAAAGACATTAACAAACACCAGCACAGGCATGCATGTGAACACACACACACACACACACACACACACACACACACACCACAAAGGTCTTCAAAACTATATGAGTGTTTCAAATGGCATTTTATTGTATTTGGGGGCTTTAGGGGCAGCATAAAATACTCACTAGCAGATTGCTAAATGAGTGAATCTTTGGACAGAGTTGAGGAAACACTGGTCTAGTCTTCATCCTGTGCAATGAGGGGCTCGAAATGCAGGATAAATCTTGTTAAGTTCACACTCACAGTTCATGGGAGAATGGGATGAAATTCCATGTTTTCTGCCTCCCATTTGAACGTCCTTTTTACTTTCTTGCTACCACTGTGTCCAAGGACTTCTG